CCACCCGCGTTCCCCTCCGGCAGGCCGCAGCGCGCCCCGCCCTCCCCCAGGCCATCCGTCCCAGCGGCCTGTTGGAAACCCCAGCCGCTGCCGCCCCCGGCAATCCCAAGCGGCGCCGTCGCCTCCACCGGGTCTGCACCCCATGCGCCATCGCTGGCGTCTCCGCACTCGCCACCAATGGCGAGTTTCTGAATCGGGTCGCTGCCCGACGCCCATACCACCGCCGCCGACCACCGGCTCGCTCCGTCTCCCCCTGGGTCCACCGCAGCGACGACCCCATGCCACTGGATCCACGGTGGCGTTGGCCTCCCTCCCCTGGGTCCACGGTGGCTGCGGCCTCCCACCCCTGGATCCATGCTGGAGGCGGCCTCCTCCGCTTCCGATGCGGCCATTCTACTGTATGTTATAATCCCGTCCAGCGCCGTCCACCTCCTCTCCATCTTGAAGTTCGACTTGATTCTTCCCAACATGTGTGCTGCTCGCCCACGCCATACCTTGCTGTTGAAACGTGCACGTCCACAGCATGTGCCCTATCAAATAAAAACAGTAGCATGTGCCGCTGCAAGGTGTAGCCGCTGTTGCTACTACTACTAACAGTACTAAGTTGTGGTTTACTGAAGAAGGAAGAGAAAGCAGAAAGTTCAGAAGTTCCACCATTGAAAGTTCAGAGAAAAGGAAGGAAAATCACTTCTCCAGAGGATGTAGTCCGGGCCTCCCCACGACTCCGTCGGCAGACGTCTCCCATGCTCCTTCGTCCTCTGCTGGAGGACATCTCTTGCTGGGTGCCAAGCTCGTGCACGGTGGAGGTATGCACCCATGTTCCCTTCGCTCCCTTGCCACCACGGTATGCTTGCATGCATTGAGACAGACAAAGAGGCAGTGTCGTTGTGTCAGCTCTATGTTAGGATGTGTGTTGTACGGTTATGTCAACTGTATGTTAGGATTTTGACAGTTCAGCTACAAGAACAATGACAGGTCGGCTTCGTATATACTCCCTTCGTTTCAAAATAGGAGTATGAAGTGCACTAAATAGAATATATACTACTGTTACTCCGCATTAAAAGATTCTGGTAGATAAGCCTGATCTGGACGATGTACTAGTAACTCGTCTGTACATTGGGTTATTTTCTTCGGTGAATCTGCTGTTGTCTGTTGTTTCGCTAGCTTTTCCCATCGCTGCTACATCACATGGAAGCTATGAAGAAAAAATGGATAAAAGAGAGGTGATGTTGTGGTTAGAAAATGCAACGGGCGAGTACGAGAGAAAACATGTGGTGGAAAACACACGACATTCACAGCTATATAAAAAATGGCCAAAAATGGTTACCTTTCACAAACATGGACTACCGTCATTTATAGGTAGCTGTATAAGTGCAGGTTTAACACGTACATTGTGTAGGCTCCATATCGACTGCGGGCTTTTGGTGGCCGCGCTACAGGCAGGCCGGTATCCTGTGCTTCTGCTTGGGCCTGGGGATTCGGAACCCGTCAATTCGTGGCAGTGCTGTGGCAGGCCTAGTGAAGAGAATACGGTCCGTGATACGCCTATCTGCCGCACAGGCGTATTCTGTTCCACCCATTTCTTTTACCTGTTCGCACGCCTAGAAAAGACGACGTGTCCTGCACCAGAAAGGCTGGCCCATGTCCGTGACCTTATCCCTAACTCGTGAACAAGCCGTCGCCGCACACCTGCTCTGCCCCTCCGTCTCTCTCTCTCTCTCTCAAATCCGACGGCGGCACTGGTTTCTCTCCGGTGAGCATCTCCCTGGCCCCTTGGCCCTACCCACGTACCCGGTGGTCGTGGGCAATTCGTCTCCACACGCCGGCTCTGCCGTTGGGTCTCTTTTCCCCCAACCTTGACGGCGCCAGGGTTTGTTCTCCGGCGAGATGTGCTCCTTTGGTGTTGAGGTGCCACGGGTGCGTCTTCTTATGGCCCGGCGGTCATGGCCGTGTTTAGATCCGCGTCCTATTCTTTGGATTTGAGTTCAGTGCCTCACCACCAACTTTTCTGCAGGATCCATGTTTGGGACGTCAGAGCCGATTCCTGATGTATTCCCGTGGAGTCGCGGGATTTCATGAGCATCGCCGATACCCAGCTGGGCCGCGGCAGCGAGGGCACACATCTGTGCGGGGACGCCTGCTTAGGTTTGCTCAGAAGCCACCAGCGGCTGGACCATTAGGTAATTACGGATCTAAAAATCTCTCATGTACCATTTTAAGTCGTTTGTTTTCCCGGATAATGGTAGATGCGCCTGTTTGAGATACAAACTTCTTGGCCGGAACGAACCATCACATCTAGTTTCAGTGTGAAGAAAGCTACTGTTGTTGTGTATAGATTGATTTTCAGTATGGAAATCCTGTGGTGAGAGCTGGAGATTTTTGTTTTGGTTGGTATTTCAGTTATGGGATTTGTCAACACCCGGCATCATTATTATTTGTGTTGGATTTTTAGTTGCTGCAGGTGATTTTGGGATCTGTATTCAATCTGGAAAAATCGATGGGCATCTCATATTTCTCCATTAAATCAGCCATGCTATACTTGACAATTACTGAAATATTAGGCCCTGCTGTGCAATTGTTTTTTTTTCGTATCATGTTTTTTGATGCAAATTGGTTAAATGACACTGATTCTGCCGTTTAGTGCCAACATTGAGAAAAAGTAGGATGCATTATGTGTTATGGTTTTGAAACAATTATATTCTTTTCTATTTTTCTATCATAAATATGCTATGATGTTCTTTTTGCGAAGAAAATGCCGTATGATGTTTACTGAACTGTCAAAGCATATTATAAATGGGCAAACAAATATATGTTACCACTGATTCATCTTCTTCCTCCCAATCCATCAGCGGCTGTCCCCCGTGGATGAGTTTGCCGAAGCGCGGCAAGGTGGACCATACATGTAATGAAGGGCCCCAAATCTTCCGGTCGGATGGAGTCAGGGGCTTCTCTTAGTATCATCGAAGCTGAAATTTGCAACGCTGCTGAGCTTGGAAGCGGTGGGCAAAGTGGTGGATTCCCCCCTGAAGCCGGTGTGTTCCAAGTTTGCGCTGAAGCTACTAGTGGATGGACCATGTATTTTTGTCAAATTAACGATGTCTCTGTCCTATTGACAACTGTTGCTGTTTCATATGATACTCTCTTGACAGCAGGAACCTGATTCATGTATGATTTTGAAATGGTCAATCCTTTTCTGGTCTGCACATTTGTTGGAATTTTATGGAGCCAACTCTGTTGTAGGTTTCATCTAATAATCCAAACTAATAATTATGATCTTGTTGAAACATGTTTGGTGATTAGTACACTTCAGAAATCTTGAAAAGAGTATTTATGCTATTATTGCTGACCACAATTTATTTTACTTTTTGATAATCATGATTGAAAGAGCCTGAGTTATTTTTGTATTACATTTTGTTCTCTAGTGCGCAAGCTGCTTGTTTCATTGTTGAGTAGATGACATTGGCTTGATAGAAACCACATTAATCTAAATATTTTGATATTCACCATGTGCTTTTCTTTGTTGGCAGCACGAATGATGCAATAATTGAAGATATGAAGAAGGCTTACATGGACGCGCAAGAGATCGAGGAGTAGAACAAATAAGCTTTATGCAATGGATAATTTGCAAGGCAAGGTTCTCCATGCCTGTATGTACGTTGCTGCTTTTGGAATTTGGCAGTTGCTTACTGGTAATGTTTCATGATTGATGCTGAATTCCTAGATGCATTTTGTAAACATTTGGATTTGTCCAGGGGCATGCCTGTATGTACTAGATGTTTACTTGTTTTCACTTATCTGCAGAAGTGGTATGTTTCCTATGAGATTAAATTAACTAGGTCCTAATTATGTATTATGTGAAATGGTATATATTAATGGATGTGTATTTTCTGGTTACCATACCGTGGTACTTGTCCTGATGGAACGAATTACCTACTTCATTGTTATTGGGCGTGCGATTATGTTAATGCTGACTATAATTACTTCATCTCTCTAGCGGTGCTCTAACAAAATTTAGTCTTTGGAGTAGTCACGTACTCACGTGCATGCTCAATGTCCTCCAGTGGCCAGGGTGACAGACTGACATCACGCACCATAGAACAACTGTTGGACATGTACTACAAGCTAGATTCTGTCCCTATCGCTAGCCCGGAATACACGCGCTGGAAAGGCTCTACGGTGGGGCAGCATGCGTGAATACAGGGCCAGCTCGGATCCCAAGCACGGACGGGCGGCCTGGATTCCGGCCTGCCTGATGCTCGGCCTCCATTCGCATTTTCCGCTCCATATCTCTCTATCTCTTTGAGTAGTACAACTTACAGAGAAGACTGTGACAAGTTATAAAATAATACAAAATGTTCGCTTAGAATAGAAATAGAGAGGAGTGTTGCAACTTACCTCTGGAGCTATTCGATGTTTAACACTTCTAGGTTTTTTGGTGTTATTTAAATTCTTTTCTTTTTCATCCATTTTTCCTGAAAGAAAGTGAACACCTGAAGAAGGGGAGCCTTGGCGCAGTGGTAAAGCTGCTGCCTTGTGACCAAGAGGTCACGGGTTCAAGTCCTGGAAACAGCCTCTTACAGAAATGTAGGGAAAGGCTGCGTACTATAGACCCAAAGTGGTCGGACCCTTCCCCGGACCCTGCGCAAGCGGGAGCTACATGCACCGGGCTGCCCTTTTTTTTTTAAAGTGAACACCTGAAGTTCAAATTGAAGGTAAGACAGAAAAACTGAAAAAAGGTCTATTGGTCAAAATAAAATAAAACCTACCAAGTAAAAAATCATTATATAAAAATCCAAAAGTTGAAAAGAAAAATAAGCAAACACTTTGATGTTAAAAATTGAAAAGCCACTAAACCATTGAGGGTTCAGCCAGAAAGAATGGATCGATGTTTATTTAAGAAGTAGTGGATTTCCCCCATTTAAAAAAACTAGAGGTTCAAATTTTAAAAATAGAGAAGTTCAATGTTTATTACAAAACCAAGAAGGTCAATTTTTTCTAAAAGAAACTTAGAAGTTCAAGTTTAAAATAACGATGAAGGTAAAAAAACCCTAGATTTTTAATTTTTAAAAGCAGAGCGGTTAGATGTTTATTACAAAACTCAGATTTCTCCAACCACTAAAGAATAAACCAAAAAGTTAAAATTAAAATAAGAGAGTAGCTCGATCTTCATATACCAAGAAAAAAAACAAGCATTGTCTAGAAAATGTTAGCTATCGAAGTTCATATTGAATAAAATGGAGAGTTCAAAGAAAAATGTTATGCGTGTACAAACAAAAGTTCCCATGTATTTCCCGCTATTGACAAAAAAGATAACAAAAAACAGAAAGTAAAATAACAGGGTCGTTCAAAATTTGTAACAAAAAAACTAAAAGCCTAAAAAGTTTGTTACAAGAAGTTCACGTGCTCCACCCTACACGGTTCAAAAAAAAAATATTACGAGACGTCCGTCGTTAATTTACATGTTGTTTTAAAAAGCAAAACAACGTTTGCCATTTTAAAACCTGCTCTCAAAAGACAACAAATTTGTAACACATGTCTACATGAAAAACTTGTTGCGATTCATAAGCTTTCCACCGGGTATATTATGTGCCACGTTTCGATGAACGGTTTAAAATTTTCATGTATAGCAAATAAAACACGTTTTGATGTATTCAAAAAATTCTTACCTGTTGAAAGAAGTTCATAGTGAAAACAACGAGAAATTCAAGTACCACAAGGAATGCATTTCACGGGAGAAAAAAATATAGAAAAATAAAACCTTAAAAGGTTTGTTGAAAGGAGTTCAAGTGCTCTGTCCGGAGAAGTTCAAAAATTCTTGCGAGAGAGTTTCACCTTGTATTTCCATGTTCGATCTTTTCCGTATAAAAATCGAATACAATTCTTTACTCAAAAATATAAAAAGGTGATGTTCAAATTGAAATAACAGAGAAGTTCAGAGTTTATTAAAACCTAGGATTTACCTGTTCAAAAAATAAAAACACAACTCCTTTTTTTGCACTTTTAAAAACAACTCATAAATGAAAAAATGGTTGCTAGAAGTTCAAGTGCTCGGCGAGGAAAAGTTCAAAAATTCTTGTGAGAGAGGTTCATCGTGTATTTAGATGTCCAAAATACATAAAAAGATGTTGTTTGTTGTGTTTTAAAATAATTCACTCAAACCAGAGAGAAGTTCAAAGTGATAACATCCAGAAGCTCACGTACTGCATGGTGTGTGTTTCGTATAAGAA